CCTGGCCTAGATTCATGGTAGCATAATTTCATGAATCTTTACATCAAGGCAAAGATTACCTGACTTCCTTGGAAAGAGATAAAGGAGGATTCCTCAGACCAGTGGGAAGCAACCTGGTGGGACTGGGCTCAGCTACTTTTGCAGTCTGAACCAGAAAGTCCAGTCCAGCCTTTCAGACTCCTCTGGAGTCAAAATAAGGAGGGAGACAATGGGGGAAAACGCATCTCAATGTTTACAAAGGTGACACAAAGAGGAAATGGCCCAGCCCTGTTATTTCCAGAGCTTTTCCTCTAAGCTTCTGATTAAGGAAAAATGTGACTACACTAACAGACTAATTATAAGATTTAAAAAAACTCATTAGAGACAGAGAGGGATCTGTGTGTCTCACTCAGACTTCTACAGCTAACACTAATCAAATCTGTTTTGAATGAGAAACACCTTGCAGAGCACCAGATATTTTGGAGAACAGTAGAGGAAAGGAGGAAGAGCATAGAGAGAGAGAGGAAAAAACAGAGGCAGAGTTGGAAAAGTATGGCTTAGCATCTCTTTGGCCTGATTTGCTACTGGAGAGCAGCATCCTGTAGGCAAGATAGAGACAGCTAATTCAGTCCCATGAGCAGCTTTCCTCCTGCCTTTGTCTTTTCCAGGGGTTTCAATTCCCTTGCTCTTCATGAGAGAAAACAGCATTTATTTCTTTGATAGGGAGCCATTTCTCAAAATCCTTGTAATGGTCCAACCTCCTTTCAAGCCCATTTTCATGAAGAAATGAAGAATCTTATTTCTGTTTCTAGCACCAACATCAAATCAGCTTTAATCAGAAAGTGGCTTTTCTCTGCTGTTTTAGTGCTCACACAATCTGATCATATTTTCTTTGACTCAGCTAAATAAGCCAAAATAGAGCATGGAACTGTAGGGCCTGGTGATTTTACAGATGAAGGTGTCCAAATGCTGTTCATTTTCTATCACAGAATTGTTTGGGCTGGAAGGGACCTTAAAGATCATCCAGTTCCAACTCCCTGCCATGGCAGGGACACCTTCCACTGTGCCAGGCTGCTCCAAGCCCCAGTGTCCAACCTGGCCTTGGGCACTGCCAGGGATCCAGGGGCGTTGGATTAAGTTTTTTTTCTGACTTAGAGATGGGGTAACTGAGAGGCATTTTAAAAACTTTAATTGTCAGTCTCATTTGAAGGGTGAGACAATACAGATGGTATAATTTACACTTTTACAATCAGAACTTAACTATTTCTTAATTACAATGCATTATAAGAGTTTCTTGGTTTATTAGCTTTAGCCACATCATGTTGTAAATGCCTTAAAGCCAATAATTTAAAATTACCCCTCGGGTCCCACTACAATTCATCTTTCATAGCTCTATTTCTCTAAAGTATCCAGTCTTATTTGCAAGGCCATCCTTTGAAACTTGTTTCTAGTTCTATTTCTCTCTCAACAATGTCTGTTTTATTCTATGGTAGTTTCAAGTCAGTATTTCTTATCTTAAAGTTTGCATAGAGATGCCCACTGTGTGAGCCTTCTGTGCTTGGGAATTTTCTACAAATCCATTTCCCACACAGGGGCAGCCACAGCTTCTCTGGGCACCCTGTGCCAGGGCCTGCCCACCCTCACAGGGAAGAATTTCTTCCTAATATCCCATCTAAACCAGCTCTTTCAGTTTGAAGCCATTCCCATGGTGACAATTTGTCCCATTCTCCTGCAGGGGAAACAGAAGTGACACTTGTGGACCCAATGGCAGTGACAGAAGGTTTCCCTGAGTGAATCCCAGGAAGTCCACTTCCCTCGGAGCTCCTTGTGTGGGATGGCACAGCAAGCTGTGCAGACATATGTTCCAGCCTCACACACCCCAGAACAAAAATGTGGGGGGTTCCTTAGGAGTTCACAGTGTACACGCCATCCAGAAACGGCTTTGGAAGGGCTGGGGGGAAAAAAGGGTGAAAATCCTCCTACTCACCGGCAGAAGAAAAGGAAAAATTGGAAAGAAGTGTCTTGGGGAAGTGGAGCGGGAGGCAGGACTTGCCTGGTGATTCACAGAGTGACCAGGATGCTTTTCCATGGAAATCAGGCTGGCAAAGTAAGGACCTGGTCTTTTAAACATCATGAGCATGGGTAACCTTGTGCATGCACACTGGAGATCACATCTTATCCCAACTCCATCCTATCCCACTCCATCCTATCCCACTCCACCCTCACCCAAGGTTTTACTCATCCCAACACCGTGGTTCATTAGGAAGGCCAAAGGAAGGAAGGAGCTGACAAGGGCAGTAATTAATAATTAATAAAATGTCAATGCACGTGCTGGTCTTTTCTAACACAATGGATTTTGGCTGTTTCATCTCTCCAATTGCTCTTCAGGTAGGCTTAGGCTGCTCTGAGGTTCATGCCCATCCCCTCAGTGTAGAGAGGACAATCCCTTCTCAGCAGTGCCAAATGATAGCTTTGTAAAAGTTCTAAAAGCAGCAATTATCCTTTCCAAAGCATTTTTATGAAGCGTTATCTTGATTAATTCAAGCTGAAAATTCATTTTAACCTTCTGCACTTCTTCTGCTTGGGCAGCCAGAGATGGAATGTGCTCATTAGATGTAATTTATCCCTTTTCTTGCTCCAGCTTTATTCAGACACACCTGTATGGAAGGCATTTCAAGAATACTGTCATTTAAGTCAGTGGAACAAGAATGTGAGATTTTAGACTTAAAAAAATAAAAATTTGTAAAGTCAAGGAAATAGTAACAAAAAATTATAACTGGTCAAAAGAACCTCTTCCTGCAGCTTTCATGGTTATTTCTTTTAACAAGTCTGGGCAATACTTTTTCTAATAAAGCAAAGTTTTAAAAATTTATTTTCAGAAATTTCTTGTGATTCCCCAAACTGAATGATTCATTTCCCTTTGCTGAAACTGTCCATTTTGAATCACTGTGGCATTAATTTCTACTTGCTACTGTTACCATGCTTAGTAGGAAATACAGTTTAGGGAAGTTTTACTTCCTTTTTTTACGATTTAAACTCATTATAAAAATCCCTTGACGTGTCACATCAGTTCAACTCACTGACCACAATGGCATAAAATGCAGGATGCAGTTCTTGGAAGAAGACAAAGGGTGTAAGAACATGTCACAAACACAACCCCCTCAGCCTCCTGGGGCCATCAGGAGGAATTTCATCACGGAAAGGGTGATTAAACACTGGAAAGCACTCCCAGGGAGGTGGAGTTACTGTCCCTGGAGGCATTTGAGGAAAGACTGGGTGTGGCACTCAGTGCTCGGGTCGGGCTGACAAGGTGATGTTTGGTCAAAGGTTGTACTTGATGATCTCAGAGGTTTTTTCCAACCTAATTGATTCTGTGACTCTGTGATGCTCCCCAGTGCTGCCACAGCCTGATCCATCCCTGCCCTCATCCTTGGATGGGCACCTTGGTTTTACATGCAGCCTCACCACACTCACCTGTGCCACTGCAACAGGGGACATCAGTGCCAGGCACATCACACTCACCTGTGCCATTGTAACCAGGGACATCAGTGCCATGCACATCACACTCACCTGTGCCATTGTAACAGGGGACATCAGTGCCAGGCACATCACACTCACCTGTGCCATTACAGCAGGGGACATCAGTGCCATACACATCACACTCACCTGTGCCATAGCAGCAGGGGACATCAATGCCAGGCACCGTCACACTCACCTGTGCCATTGTAACCAGGGACATCAGTGCCATGCACATCACACTAACCTGTGCCATTGTAACAGCAGGGGACATCAGTGCCAGGCACATCACACTCACCTGTGCCATTGTAACAGGGGACATCAGTGCCAGGCACTGTTGCACTTACCTGTGTTATATAACAGGGGAAATTGTCACCATTGCACTCACCTGTGTCATTGTAAAGGGGGGGGCATGGGTGCCAGGCACATCACACTCACCTGTGTCATTATAATGGGGAAATTGGTACCACTGCACACACCTGTGTAATTATAGCGGGGGAATCAGCACCATCACACTCACCTGTGTCACTGTGACAGGGGACACCCATTCCAGGCACCATTGCTCTCACCTGTGTCATTATAATGGGGGAATTGGCACCATGGCTGTCACCTGTGTCACTGTAACAGGGGACACCCATCCCAGGCACCATCACACTCACCTGTGTCACTGTGACAGGGGAAATCGGCACCATGGGACTCACCTGTGTCACTGTGACAGAGGACACCTGTTCCAGGGACCACGGTGCTCGCCTGTGTCACTGTGACAGGGACACCCATCCCAGGGACCATGGCGCTCACCTGTGTCACTGTGACAGGGGAAATTGGCCCCATAGCTCTCATCTGTGTCATTGAGACAGGGGACACCCATCCCGGCACCATCACACTCACCTGTGTCTCTGTGACAGGGGAAATCGGCACCATGGCGCTCACCTGTGTCCCTGTGACAGGTCACCTGTCCCAGCCCATCCCTGTCCCGTGGGTCGCCCCAGCCCTGTCCCCGGCCGTGCCTGTCGCGCTGTCCCCTGGCTGCTCCAGCCCTGTCCCCTGGCCGCCCCAGCCCTGTCCCCGGCCGTGCCGGTCCCGCTGTCCCCTGGCAGCTCCAGCCCCTTTCCCTGGCTGCTCCAGCCCTGTCCCGGGCCGTGCCGGTCCCGCTGTCCCCTGGCCGCCCCAGCCCTGTCCCTGGCCGTGCCGCAGTCCCCTGGCTGCTCCAGCCGTGTCCCCTGGCCGCCGCAGCCCTGTCCCCTGGGTGCTCCAGCCCTGTCCCCGGCCGTGGCGGTGCCGCTGTCCCCTGGGTGCTCCAGCCCTGTCCCCTGGCTGCTCCAGCCCTGTCCCCTGGCCGCCGCAGCCCTGTCCCCGGCCGTGGCGGTGCCGCAGTCCCGCGGCGCTGCGCTGGCACCGGGCGAGGCTCGCTCCGGGTGCCCCGGCCGTGCCTCACTTCCTCCGGCCCGGTTAAACATTGACAGGCGCAGGGCGGAGGGAGGCAGAGGCCATCCCTGCGTGTCACAGTGCCCGGCACGGCCTGCGGCTGAGGGACAGCTCGGAGCAGCCTCCCTTCCCTCAGGGACAGTGTCCCCAGCTCCTGAGGGACGTTTCCTTGGGACAGTAGTGAGGGCTGGCCCGGGTTCCCCGCCTGGATCACCTCCAGCCCGGATCCCCGCCTGGATCACCTCCAGCCTCTGCGTGGGCAGCGGGAGCCGGAGCTGCCGTCTGAGGGAAAGCGGTGGGAGAGGTCTCAGCGCCGGGGATGTGATCCAGGTAAAGCCCTGGGCAGCCTGGATTTGCTTCCCAGCAGACAGAGCCGGGGGATGGAAGATAATTTAGCCCTTTAGCCCTTTTCCCTGATCCTGCCTCAGCCGGGAGCTGCCCGGGGGTGGCAGGAGTGGTTTGTGGCTCTGTCTCCTATTCTGCTTCCTGGCATTTGGGGTTGGTGTCCGTCGTGGGGTGCCCAAAGCATCTGAGCCCCTCTCTGGGACCAGCTGCCATTCCTTGAGGGGATAATTATTGTTATTTTCCTTGCCTGTGTCGTGGATGAGGGAGGGAGCAGGCTCAGAGCAGCACTGCCAACCTGAGTCACTCCAGGCACCAGCAGAGGAGGGGAAAAGCCTCCCAAAACAAACCCAGGCATTTAATTCATCGTCAGCCAAAATATCCTGTTTCATCTGGGGATCAGATAATATTTCCCAGCCCTTTGAAAGTCCATTTTGAAACAAAGTAAAACAAAATATAGATCCCTCCCTTTCCTGCCTTGCTCTACTTCACCCCAAGCTCTTTACTGATTTTTGCCCTGGATTTGGCACAATGTTCTTACCAGTTTATAAAAGCTTTGCCCAGCTCAGATTGCTTTGGTGGAGCTGGATTTGTCAGAGGGGGTATGAAGGCTGCTGTTCTGCTTGGAAATGCTGCTTGGTGTCACAGCTTCCTGGAAAAGAACCCAGCCCTGTGTTTTGGATTTGTTTCCTGGTGCTTTACTCGGGCTGTTTCACTTGGTATGACAGATGATACCAGCTCCTGTAGTCCTGACTGGTTTGTGTGTGACAGCCAAGTGACAGATTTCACAGTGACAGAGCACAGAGAAATCCCTCCAGGCTGTGCACAGTGACCCTCCCTCCCCACCTGCCTGCTGGGGACTCCTCCACACATAAAATATGGAGATTAAAAAACCCAAAAACATTTCAAAATGCACTAGGAAAACCCGAACCAGACTTTGAACAAACAGGTGAAGAAATCAGCCCACCGGTTTGGCTGAAAACATTGATAAATTGACAGGGCTGTCCTGTGGGTTCCCAAGGTAAATTGAAAGCTTGAAAAACAGGAAAATGTGGATGAAAATGCCAGCTGAGCCTGCCAGAATCCAGGCAGGGAATGGAGCTCTGGTTCCTCCTGGTGCTGCAGGAAACCCAGGGTGTCTCTGTGGTGACACTTAATTTTCATGCACTGCACAGTGCTGCCACAAAGAGCACCCCCAGAGTCAGAAACACTTTCCTGACAAGAAATTTGGTCTGGCCACAAAACCACATCCTCTGGCCCGGATCCCTTTCACAAAAGCAAGCTTCAGTGGCCCTGATGAGGAATTTGTAAGCCAAGCACAGTAAAAGCCTCTCCCACATATTTTGAGTGGGAGGAGGATAATATCTCACAAGTGAATCACAAACACTGAAAAAGCAGAAAATATGGGAGTAAGGTGGTGTCTCACACCCAGAATCTGTGTATTATTTCTGACCACAGTGGAGAGCTGCAGGTGGTAAAGGAGGCACTCTCAGGTTCTGAGGAATAACTCTGGGGACCTTTTTTTCCACTCTCAGCCTTTCTGAGGGCTCAGTCTGGGCAGCTGAGAGGAGATTTGATGTTTCTCATCCTCACAAGTGCAGCAGCTCAGAGAATTACTTTTCCCAGTTGCTCAGGAGTAACTTTAATGATGCAGCTGGAGCTGCCCTGGCCATGTCAGTGCTGAAGCAGGAGTGTTGTAACATCCAGGAGGGGCTGAGGAATGGGAGATCTGCAGGAGGTGGTTTCTCTGCTGAAAAAAGGGTCCTCTGTGTCTTTTAAAACAATTATTTGAGGAAAGATTCCGCTCTGCTTCCAAACACTCCCTCATTTAATCTTTTCCCCTTGCTGGTGGTACAGGTCACACAAAGTCAGCCTTGCCACAGGACCCGAAGCTGTGGCTCATTCCCAGGTTTCTCCAGGAGTTCTGTCCTTCAGCTTCTTCTCAAGCATGCAGTGACCACTGGTGGCTTCCTGCCTCAGGGACCAGGAGAGAATGCTCCAATGGAGAGCTTCCAGAAATGCATTTTGCTTCCCCTCATCCTGACTGCCTCGCTGCCAGGTAGGACACGTTCAAAACCCATGAGATGAACCACCATGGACAAAACGTGGGCACTCATTTCAGGGTGGTGAAAATGGCCTTTGCTGGTGAATTCAGACTGAGCACTCAGCCACAGAGTGGGATTGTTTCAACTGTTTGAAAGGAGATGTTTGTATTTCAAGCCTGAACCATCTGATGATTTAAAGTGTGTTTGAGTGTGAAGGACTGAGCAGTGTGTGGGGTGGGGAGGAGGTGGGAGGCCTGCCTTCTTTCAGTTTTTCCCTCTCCTTGTTTTTCTCTCCCTCCTGTTTGGGACTGCTTTTGAGGGTGCATCTGTAGAAAACTCAGTATCAGCAGCTGGTTTTTACTTCCAGAAGTAAATGCAAATTATCACGTTGCTGGTTCACCACCAATTCACACTACACACGCCTGAGTCTCAAAGTCAATTGAGATTAAAAGTGTCTTGGTGGCAAAGCTTTAGAGGAAAAGTGAATATTAAGTGACTAGTTGGGTAATGGAGACAAGGCAGATTTTTTTTTTAATTATAGTCTAGCTGGAGTTTTAACAGGCTTTGACAGGAACAAGCTGCAGAGGGATGAGGGGAAAGGTGTTGTCATGGATTAATAGTGAAAGGAAACACAATGCAGGAATAAACACTGAGTTTTCTGAGCAGTGGAGCTGCACAGGGATGTGTGGTATTCAACAAGCTCTTGAACAACCTGGTGAAGAGGAGGGAGCTGTGAGGTGGCAGACTTTGCAAGCAGTGCAGAGTTACTTAGGGCAGCCAAATCCAAGAAGAGACTAGGAAGATTTGCCAGAAAATGTCAGGATGTCAGATGAGTAAGTAAGAAAGGCAGAGAAAGCATTCAATGCAAAGCATCTCTTAAATGCAATGTCTAGTGGAGAAAAGAATAGATGTCTTGGAAAGAGAGTAAATTGCTGAAAAAATGAGAAAATTTCACCATTTAGTGTCTTCAGCAAGGGGAGATAAAATGAAACCTGGCATAATATAAATCCACAGAAAGGTTTAATCTCAGATATTGGCTATTTTGTTAACCCTTCCATCACAAACAGGACAGGTTAGGTCTGAGAAAATGACAAAGTGTGATGGAGCTGTTCTAAGGTAGAGAATCAAAGAATCATAGGAGGGTTTGGGTTGGAAAGGACCTTAAAAATGTTCCAGTTCCAACCTCCCTGCCATGGGCAGGGACACTTTTCATTAGAGCACATTCCTCAATCTTCCATCCAGCCCTGAACACTTCCAGGGTGAGGCATCCAAAGCCCCTCTTGTCTAGGAGGGAAGGATGAGAAGGCTTCATTAGACTGGGATATCTTTTCCCTACTTGTGAAGAAGAATAAATGGTAAAAATGTATTAAAATGATTAATTCTATGGAAGTGAATGGTGAAATGATTGTTCACAATTTCTCATGACAAAAAGAAATTTGCTGTAACCACTAAAAGTATCAGCTTTAAGGCTAACCAAAGCCTGTTCTTTTCTCAGAGCATGTAATTAAATAGTAAAGCTCATGGTCACAGGCTTTGGGGGATATAAAATTATAAAGAGGCTGAAAAAACCTAGAAACAAATATCATAAAGGGTAGATCCATAGGTACAGAAGCAACTTTTGGCTCAGGAAATCCCTGGATCTCTTTTTTTTTTTTTGGGCACTGGGAAGTTCTACCAGGGACTGCTGTCAAACAGTGAGTGAGAGGAGAGAGGAAGACACGCCTGGGGGCTGTGGAGAGGTTTGTGTGCAGGTGGGAGGAAATAAGAATTGCTGAGCATCAGGAGTCTGGTATTACTTGACAGAAACATCCTGTAAGCATTTAAAAATTCTTGTTAACACAAGCGAACAAGCCAGTCCCTCGCTGCAGGCTGTGACAAGCTCCAACCTACTTTGGTTTTCAAAAAGCTCAGCTGCAGGGCTGTTGGGTTTTGAGACAAACTTGAGCTGGTTATTTATTTATTTATTGTTGTGTATTTAGCAGTTGATAGCAGAGCTGTGGCTGGAGCAGTGGGACAGTGGTGGGGAAGGGGAGGTAGAAGGCAAGGTGGGGTGAGCAGGAGATTGAAGAAAAAGTAAAGAGAAAAAGGAATTTCAAAGAGATTGAAGGAAGGGAAAAATATGTAGAAATTCAAACAGAAAGAGCAGAGAGGGAAGGGAGAAAGACAGATATTAGTTACAAAAACTGAAGGATGAAAAGCAGTGTTTGTGGAAGGGCAATATGGGTAGAGAGGGGGAGATTATGTTGAAATACGATAATGAGGCTGAAAAAAAAAGAGGAATCATTATGGCAAAAGGATAAGCCCATCCTGTCCTTCCCTGTGCTGCATCCAAATAGGTCACTTACAAAAGAGGAAAGACAGAGCCAGCAGAGGACAGGAGGCAAGGAAGAGAAGGTAGCCACATCTCAATGCCCCTGTTGTTGAAAACTGCAGCATGGAAGAGTGGTCCTTTGGGGTTTATTCAAGTGTGGAAGAAAAAACATTGTTGACGAAGGGCAAGGGTGGTTCTTTGGCACATGAGGTTCCCTCAGTGCAGGCATCATCCTGCACAAGATGCATTTTCATTGCTTCACAACCTGCAGTGGTGTGACAGCGAATTTGTGTGGCAGAGGAGGGAAAACACCAGCTGATAAAGGAGTTGGTTTGTGCTCTGCGTTCTGCTGGGAGGCACTGAGCACCTGGGACACCATAAACACTTAATTTAAGCAAATTTTCACCCCAGGTGACTGCTCTGTAAACATTTAGTGATGTGCCTCAGAGAAGGTGTCCTCACTCAGCTCTGTTTTTCAAAAGCTCAGGGGTGATCAGGGAGCCAGCCCAACATTCCCCTGCTGCAGGGATGGTCTTTGCCTGGGTGGGATGTCTCCCTGCTGGTGTGGGGGAAGGCAGATGCTAAAGCAGCTGTTCAGAGCTGAACACATAATTCTGTAAAGTGCAATGAAAATCTAGCCCGAGGCCTTAATTTGTTTAAAAGCAACCATCTGCAAGGTATTTTTGAAGCAGGATGCAAATGAAAGCAGCACTTACATTTTTCTCCCCGGTGCATGAGGCAAGGTCCAGCAAAAGGAGTCCCAGCACTGGCTTCAGGCATTGGTAGCTGGGTTTAGATCCCATTTGTGCCATGAATGTCCTCTGTGACCTCACACAGGTGACTTTGTCAGTGTTTGTGCACAGGTTGGACAATGGAACGTGCTGTTGGTTCAGGACTCCACGTGCAGAACAAACAATAAAAGCAAGAAGATAAAGAGGCAAAGGAGAAATCACCAAAACCATTCAGGCCACAGGTGGAGAAAACTCCTTTATTGGCTGTGCTGGGGCTGGGAGCTGAGTGGAGGAGAGGTTATGACCCACTCAGTCCTTCTGCCTCCCAAAGGATCCCTCAGGGCTCAGGGACCTGTTCCCCATGGGGCAGCAATCAGGGAAAGACCATTTATTGCTCCAGCAGACATGGTTGGTGAAAGAAGATGTAGATCCTACCTTACCTATGGACTGATAAAAATTATTATAGATAAATGATTAACTCATACATACCTGCCTATACTGCCCTGAATATCTGAAGAAAGCAAAATCAACATAGCCAATTATTTTTAGAGCCAATGATCACTGATTATTCATGTTTTGGGATAAATTTCAAAGATTAATTAACAGCAAGCATTGTCCTGAAAGTTGAATCATTTATTCAGAGCCCTGGCAAACCACAGCTCCTTGAAAAGGTAGAGTGTTTGCACAGGAATAGAAATAAATTCCAAGTGCACAGAGAACAGTTTGCATTAAGAGGGTCAGAGTGGGTAAGTTTTAATTTGAACAGAAATGTGATTTACTTAATCTTATCTGGCTTTATTAATTATCACAGTAGGTAAAGTTTGCTTTTCATTTAATGTTTTGTTGCTTACACACAGATATACTTTGCAGACTGAGGTGCATGGCAGAGGTAACATAACCCAGGAAGGTGGAAAATTTTTGTGAATGCTTTTGTAGACTTGACAGAACTCAGAGTCAGCCATACAGAGAGCCAGGGAGAGCAAGGTTTGCACAATCCTGCAAAACAAAGAAGTCTGTAAATGCTTGCAGCAGGTGGGAGGAAAGAGAGGAGCTATTTATATTAAAGAACAATTCCTGGCACCAACCTGGTTGGATGTGCAGTGGTTAAATGTGGGCTGGGAACTGCAAAAGGTTCTGGGCAATGGAGCAATGAGGCTCCAGACCCTAGTCCTGGGTGCAGCTCACTGAGGCACTGGTTGCAATGTCCTCACTGAGACTGGGCTCTGGTTCCATTTATACAAACACCAAACACCCTGTTGTGTGAAAAATACAGCATGTCCTTCTCACATCAGCTGCTGACTGAAAGAAAAATGGGTTTTTGTCAATAATTTATAGCTAATCCATTAATGAATAAACTACCTAAAATAAACTTGGTGTGAACAAAACCCTTAAAAATTACTTCATTGTCCTGAATACTCTTAGCAAGGGAGTGATGACTATTTCAGGCTTCCTTTCTCCTGGAACATAATTGAACACTTATTCTCAGGCCAAATTTGCTGGCATGAGGTTTTAATTAGACTGCCATGGACTGCAGTGTCTAATTGCTGTCATCGTGCAGAGCTCAGCTGGGAGCATTGGGGCTCCACAGCAGTCCTGGTGCTCCCTCAGCAGGAATGTTCCCTGGGGAGGCAGATCCCCCTGGCAGGACTGTTGGGTCTGCAGGGAGGGAAATGTCCATGCTTGGACTCAAAATATTCCTGTGCAATCGGTGGAGTTGGCAATGGGAGGCCTGGGTCTGTGAGGAGGAAAGGAAAACAAAATGACTTTGTTAGGAGCTTTCAGCTCTGAAAAATATTGGCCAAAATTTACACTGCCTTTCAAGGAGTTAAAGCTAATGAGTTACAGCACCTCTGGTTAACAGAAAGCCTGAGGAAGGCTTTAGAAGAAATACATCACAATGTGTGTGATGAATGATTGAGGAATAGGGGAAAGAGCACTGAAGGATAAATGATGGGGCTGCAAAAAATCAGTGGCAATCCAAGATATGGAAAAGGGACTGGTTACACACTCCTTTAATTATTTAAAGTGCAGGCAACTCATGTATTTTCCTATTTAAAAGTGGAATTTTTTTCTGTCAGCAAAATGGTAGTCAGTGAATTATTGAAGATAAACAGGTGATTTTGGAGTGGGAGAAGGAGAGATGAAATAATTAAAGGCATTTTTAAAGAAAGCCACTTAATCTAAGCAGGATCTGAAAGAACAGATTGCACATCTTTATCTCTGAACTGGTTAAGATGTTTTACACTATCCAACCACCTCTGTTGGTGTTGTATATGTATTTATGGACTGATTTTGGTACCCTCACAGGTCTGGGCTTTTGTTACTCCATCACAAAAGGCCCTGAGAACGCCACAGTCCTGGCTGGCTCAGAGGCCAGGTTCAACTGCACGGTGTCTGCAGGATGGAAAGTCCTCATCTGGCTCTCCAAGGGCAGTCCTGTCCTCACTGTCCTCAACTCCCAGGGCTCGGTGGAAACCACAGATCGCTTCACCTCCAGGAACTACAGCAGTGGGGATGAGTTCACCTCGGAGCTGATCATCCACAACACCCAGCTGAGTGACTCTGGCAGGATTGAGTGCAGCATCCAGCAACCCAGCCAGAACAACTTTGCCTTTCTCTCTGTTCAAGGTGTGTATGGCTGATGCCTTGTGAAGGCTGACCTAGAGCAGAGCTAAAGAATAAAGCAGGGAACATAAAAACATAAAAGCTCAAACCTGAGGCATCACAGCCACCAGCAAAAAGCTGTTTTATTGTGCTGCACTTAAGGGAATCCTCTGAGGAATTGCTCAAGTTATCCCTGGGAGGAGTACATGCTCTCATTTACCATCCTTTGCCTCCTGCCCTCCTCACCCTAATTTTACTGTGTGGGTTTTAGAGTCACATGCAGAGTGCCAATGGCAGAGGTTTTAACTGCCCCTGTTTCTTCCTTCTCCATCTCTTATTCCTTATCCTGCAGCCAGGAAAGCAGGATCTCACCACCAGGCACTATCCATTTGTCAAGGAGGGGCTTGGTGCAGTGATGGCATCTCATCACCTACCTGTAAACCTCTTCTTATATGACCTGAGCATATTTAAAACTTAGAGGGAAACACTGTTATTTCCCTGTGTTGTCCTCCAGCTGGATATGTGTCAAGATGACCAAAAAGTGCAATTTCCTGCTTTTTATTGGAAAGGTACTGAAAGTTGAGACTTGTGCTTTAACATATTGGGTAAGGGGCCCATGTAGTTGAAATATCTGCATGTTTCCATCATGCAAATGGTATATCTGTATTAATAATTGTTTTCCACTTCATATCTCAAGGCATAGCTATTTCTGGGTAGCGAGATAAGATTTAAAAACTACCAGCAGGAAAGCAATGCAGCGAAACGTTCTGAAGGAACAAAAACATCTTTTCCCTCCCACAGTTAATGGATCTTTACTCATCAAAAATAGCACCTTAACAGTAAAAGACAACCAAACAATTGAGATTGTTTGCGAAGCCTTAGGATGGGCTCCAGCTCCAGACATTGCCTGGATGACAAATGACTCTTTGGTTGATAAGTCAAGCTATGTTACCCAGCAAAGTCCAGGATCTCATGGCCTCCACAATGCCCTGAGCACCTTAACTCTGACTCCGAGGGACACTGAGGTTTTGACTTGTTTAGCTGACATAGAAGCACTCCCCAGCCCTCAGAATGCAACTGTAACTCTTATTTTTGACAACTCTGCCTCGGGTAAGTGATTGTTTGTTGTGCTTTTCCCATCCTGTACCGCCTGTGCTCAGGGCTGTGCGTTTTGTTCTGGTTGGTTTTGCTTTGAAAAGTTGTTTATTTGCCAATGAAATCCTCTGGGGTGTGGAATTCAGAGCCAGGAGTCACAGCATGATGTACAGGTAGGGTTAAATGTACTTTTAGCAGTCTAATGAACCATGAAGCCCAAGGTAGGACTGAGCAGGACAAAGCCTCTGACAAATATCTGCCTCTGACTCCTGTGGATTTGCTGCTAGGAAAACCAGCCTTTGCTCCTTGACCAAGAAAACACCCAAGGAATTTAGATCTTAAACATCCTTGATCAGAGCATGCCTGCCATATTAACTTAATTTCTTACAAAGACAAACCCTCATGTGAAATTTTTCTCTGTAATATCCAATACCAGTTTTTACCCCTGATTTGGGGAAAAAAAAAACCCTTCCAGTTTCTGCACACAACCTAGAATAAATTCTGTCCTAACATATATTTTTTTGGGCAGTGCATTAGGTTGCCTTTTACTGGCTTTTACTTAAAGGAATTCAAAGTTGTTTTAATCCAAGCTGGGATGTCATGCAAATCTCTCCAGAGCAGTTAGCAAGGCCTTTGATAACTCTAAATATTTTTGCTAAGGTTGTAATCATGCTGACAGCTTCTCTTGATGAACTGATTCTTCTTCTGCAATGGGTGAACAAGGCACACACAAAACATCCTTACAGGGTATCAATGAGGGGTTTGGTACAGACATTTTGACACATAAACAGCTGAGAAGATTGAGTAGCTGTGCCCTTTGTTTTCAGTATGAATCATTATTAGCAGGCCTTTTTCAGAAGTGCTTACTTGGTAATGCAGTTGGAAAAGGTCATTTGCCATCCCTAATATGGCCTTTTGTAGTCACATTGATCTTAATTACTGACTAAGCAAAATAGCACTATCCTGAGGAAATTAATAAATTCCCCTGCCCACTCATTTGTGATGTTTCCATAGCTACTCCCTATAAATCAGAAGAGGAGAAAAACAGATGTCATGAAGCACTATTAGTGTATAATTAGTGATTGTATAGGACCATCATTCATTTCTCTTTGGAAATACCATTGTGCAGCAGCAGCAGCAGGCACTCAAAATTTGACAGGATAGGAGAATCTGAAGTCTTTAAATGATTAGGATGAAATAAAAGCATGGCATTTATGACACAGGAAGGTATATAATGTATATATCACACTCAAAACCTAAGAGCTTGTCCCTGTTTTCATACACAGGCTCAGCCTTAGCTGGCTGTTGGGAAAGAGCACAACCAGCTTTAAGCACATAAGAAATCTTTCCCAAAATTACTGAAATATCAAGTTTCCCCTTCACTTAAAAGCTGGGGCAATCAAATTCCTCCTTGTTCTCTTAAGCAATACAAGAACTACTGAAAATCTGAGCCCTCTCCAGCCACCAGCCCCTGGTGAGGGAACGTCCCACCTTCCTGCACCTCTGGGTCAGTCTTTCCATACAAAGTGATGCATTTTCATGTCATTCACTCTTCCTACAGGGGTGTTTGGCTGAGCCTGAAATTTGGGAACTCCTACAGAGTTATGCCAGGAGATGCATTCACAGAGTTGTTACTTGGAATGGGATCCATGGTGGAGTTCCTTAGCTGGGTCCAAGCAGAAATTTGACCTGCAGAAATTGAGGAAAAAGAGTCCCCCATGAGCCTGGATGTCCTTTACTTTTGAACTCAACCAGAAAGCTCCAATATTGTATTTGCAAAGACCCCAGACAAAGGAAGGAATGATGAATCTGACTCCATGTTCTCAGAAGGCTAATTTATTTTAAGATACTATATTATATTAAAGAATACTAAACTATATTATACTAAAGAATTCAGAAAGGATACTTAGACAATGCTAAAAAGATAATAATGAAACTTGTGACTCTTTCCAGAGTCCTGACACAGCTTGGCACTGGTTGGCCAATGAGTCAAAATAATTCACAGCAGAAACTAATGAAACAATCACCTGTGGGTAAACAATCTCCAACCACATTCCAAAGGAGAAAAACTCAGGAGAAACAATGAGATAATACAATTTTCCTTTTTCTCTGAGGCTTCTCGGCTTCCCAGGAGAAAAATCCTGGGCAAAGGGATTTTTCCAGAAAATATGAGTGTGACACTCCAAAGTGTCCAAGGAGCCACATGCAGGTTTTTCCAGTCTCTCATTCCTCACTGGTCACCAGCACCTGCCTGGGAAAATCCTCTTTTCTGCAGACACTTTGTCAAAGTCAATGTTTGGACAACTTAGGGAGGAGCCAGAGGTCAGGATGGCAGCAGAGGATGGCCCTGTGGAATGAGGAAGTGGCTCTGTCCACATTAAACACTTCATGGAACTTGGTTTGGATTTCCTAAGAGACTCAGGGATTTAACTCCTTCACCCCTTCGTGCCCCTCCCTTGCAGCCCTGCTTGTGTGTTCACCTGACAGCTCCTCATTCACACCCAGCTCCAGTTTCTTCCTGCTTCCTCCTAAACTGCAGAGACACAAAAACGCTGAAGCTCTGGGTGTGTTTGTGTTGTACCCTGTCCTTCTGCCTGCAGCTCCATAAATATTTTGGCACATAACCTGACCCTGGCAGGGAGTGAAGCACCTTGGTGTGGCAGCCAGCAGGAATGGGCTGGTGCAGGTGTGTTTAGCTCCTCCCTTCTCACTAGGGTTAAGCTTTTCCCTCTAGCTAAATAGATGTCATTCATATTTTAGTCATCTTGAAATCCCCGTGGCATCTCTGTGGAACAAAATGTACTAAAATGTAGATATCTGTTGCAGTACTTCTAGATAAAAATACTATGAACAAGTTTATCATCAACTGATGGCAGCCTACAGGATTTACTGCTAATTTTCAGGTCACTGAGTGCTTGTTTTTTTTTCCTAATAGAAGAAATTCCAAACATGCTGGTTGAGCATTAGGATTAGAGAGGACTGGAACAAATTGCTTAATGATAGTGACCTGAGCTTTGGAAAATGCAGGTTCCTGGCAGAGGTTCAAGCTTTGTAGGAGGTTTTGGTAGTGTCTCTTTTCAGTCTGAAACCTCCAAACCCCAAACACACACCTAGGAAAATTTGTAGATGGAAAGGATTTAGTTTATTCCCTGCCACAGGTAAACCTGGCTCCCACATCAGGGGAATTGCCCTGACCTTGAGCAGCTCCCAGTCACCCTCATTCCTGTGGTGCCTCTTCCAGAGGCTGTGTGGCCATGGAGTTGTTAATTGGGACCTCAAATGAGGAAAAGGCAATCACAGACCCATGGGACAGAACTGTGCCAAATCTGCACATGTCTCACACCTGTAATTTGAATTGGAAGGTTGTTTCTAAACAGCTGCCAAAAGTGTTTTGGGGCTGCTTTCCAAAGGGAAACCAAACTGGAGGTGCTTCTGGAATGTTTGGTCAAACCAAGGGGCAGGATGATGTGACAAGCAGAACTGGTGTCTTCCTTGCACATCCAGCTGCCTGAGAAATGTTCCCCAGCGCTGGAAGTGTCCAAGGCCAGGGCTTGAAACAACCTGGGATGGTGGAAGGTGTCCCTGCCCGTGGCAGGGGGTGGAACTGAGTGGTCTTTGAGGTCTCTTCCAACCCAAATCATTCCATGATTCTGTAATTCTAAATGCAAGATATTTTTAAAATTCTGCACATGTGGGACCCTTGTTTGGTCATAGCAACTGATTTCAGCAAGGCATTGAATTATCCTTAAATCCCCTCATTTAACCCTGTAGATTACAGCAAAGATGAAGGAATCAGTTAAATGTGAGCATGCTGTAGAGAAGATGGGTCAGTAGCTGTGTGTTCTTCACTGGTTTTGCTCTTTGGTGCTCTTTAAGTGGGGAACAGGGGTCCCACCAAGAACATCCCGAAATCAAACACTTGTTGAAATCACTGAGAGAAATCCCAAGATGGAATTGATTAGAAAATAATTTTTTCCAGGCTAGAAATCACCAACTGTACTAATCACCTACAGCTGTTGCTGTGGTTTATGGGGAGAAATGGACATTTTTTTTTCAAAGCAGTTCACCTTATTAAAAAGGACACATACACATTTAATCAAATTAATTGTAACCCAAGATACCTATTTTCTCTCCACTGACAAGAGCAGCCAGGCAAGACACTCAATATCTGCAGTATGGAGACCTAAACTGAATCTTAAAACCTTTCCCCAGATGTCTCCAAAGGACTCTGGGATGCCCAGCATAATTATAAAATAAAGTTTGAAGGTTGCAACCCTGTGTTTTTTCAGAAGAGAAGTAGCACTGGGAGAAGCTACTACTGCAATAAAGGATTTTAATTCAGGAGTATTTTAAATTCTTGGGCACCATCCATAAATACAGAGTCTGTCAATTGGATAACACAGCCTCCTCGTTAAATATTCACCAAACACTTAATAGCATCTCCCAGAAAAGGTAAACATGCTGAAAAGGATGTTTTGAGGCTCTGATAGTCCAATGTTTCTCCATTTAATTTAACAGAAAATTATTACAGTGAAGACAACAGGAGCACGTGGGTTGTTGTACTTGCAGTTGTGCTTTCATTTCTTGGCATTGTCCTCCTGGTCGTTATTATTGTGGTTGCTGTGCGCTGCTGCCTGAAGAGGAGAGGTGAGTGAACCTTCACAGCTGGTCTAAACATTAAAAAGTGGCTTTGATTAGACATAAATCTACCTGTGTCAGCTCTGATGCTGCACAAAGACCTTAAGCAGAAGACTGAGCAGGCAGATCCTGCTCTTAACCATGACCTGTTTAAGATCCTCCTTAATTTCACCATCATGTTTCTCTCATGAATTTATTCCAATCAGTGTCAGCCCATCACACTAACTGCTAGGGGGTCATGTTTTTTGGGAGTACATTCACTTCTAAAGACATTTAAGTGTTCTTTATTGAAGAGTATTTTCAGTGCTGTGTACCTAATTCCAGTTTCCACGTAAGGTGCTCTACAGGGCTGCCCAGTTTTTCAAACAGGAGAGGTGCTCCTGTGGCAGCAGAAACTCAGGACACGCTCTTAGAGAACTTACAGAGGTTTTCAATTTTAATTTCCTGCACTTTAAACACTTTTTTTTTTTATTTTTTCATTTTTAGGGTCTACTTATCAAAATGAAATAAGGTAAGTCAGATGATGGAAAACTTTTCGTGGTGTTCGCTGGACTCTCTGAGGCTGCTGCAGGGTGGCAGGAGGGACGTGCCAGTGTCCTTGTCCTGGCATCCATCATCCCAGAACTGCCGGTGCTGCCGGGCTGGGTGAGCCTGTGGGACAGCAGAGGGATGGGGACAGCATCCAGGGAAGGGGACTGCCTTAGGGATGAAAGGCGAGCACCAGGGCTGGCAGCAGGCTGTGAGCGCTGAAAACCCCACGGAAACCCCAAAGCGCCGGAGCGGACAAACCCAGCCCTGTGAAGGGACAAAGCGAATTCCTCGGAGCCGGCTGTGCCCGCAGCTGTCCCGGGGAAGGCAGGGGAGGGTGGCCGGCCACCCGAGCCCGGCGGGCGATTGTCGCCGCCGCCACAGGATGTCACTGCCAGCCCGGCAGCGCGGCTGGCGCCGGGAGCGGCGAGCCCGGAGCGCGGCAGGCGAATTCCACCGGGTAAACGGGTAAAAAAGGGTTCAGAGGGCAGGTTCGGAGCAGATATTAAGAAGAAGAAGAAATTAAATATTGTATTTTAATAATGATAATACGTAATAGATATAATGTATATTATACAATGTATAATTATATATAATATAGAAGATGTAATATAGAACATAAAATAATATATATTTTATATATAATAATATATAATAATTATATAATATATAATATAAATGATATTAAAATATATATTATTGTATATAAAATAATATTATATATATAGATATAGATATATATTTTATATATCTATATAATAATATAATATTATCACAGAATGACCAGGTTGGAAGAGACCTTCAAGATCATCAAGTCCAACCCAGCCCCAAGAGCTCAGCTAAACCCTGGCCCCCAGTGCCACATCCAGGCTTTGTTAAACACACCCAGGGATGGAGATCACTGGCTGGGGCATATCCTTATCTGTGCATAATATTCTGTATTAAATACTAAGAAATTCTTGACTGGGAGGGTGGTGAGGCACTGGTACCTGTTGTCCAGAGATGATGTGACTCTCCATGCCTGGGGGTGTTCATTGGAGCAGCCTGGGATAGTGGAAGGTATCCATGCCCAGGAGCTTGCAGTGAGATGATCTTTAGGGTTTCTTCCAACTCAAGGTATTCTATAATAAAAATATAAGTATAATAACATTATATAATTATATAATATATAATAATAAAAATGCAAAAAATTAATAAAGCTACCCCATGGAATTTTAATTAAAAAATTAATAAAGCTGCTTGGAACAAGATGACCTTTAAGGTTTCTTCCAACCCGAGCTATTCTGTAATAAAAAATTAATATAATATATAATTATATTATATGATTATATAATTATATAGAATAAAAAAAGTCTAAAAATATTTTATAAAGTTGCCCCATGGATGAGTATCAACACCTCATCCAGTGATTTTCAGATGTGTTTCAGTACAAAGCTGTTGTTCCATTATTGCACTGAGATGGAAAACTTCAGAAATCATTAACTGGTGGCTCTCAGCATTAAGACCCTTTTTATCAGCACCTGTGACAGCCGTGGCAGTGGGGTTATTAATATTATTATTTATATTTAGGCAGCATTGTGAATTCATTCCCTGCCTACGCTTGTGGGGTTTTAAGTCCCCTTCCCTTAATGAGTTTGCAGAACGTTCCACCCCGCTGCCTGGCACGTCAGTAATTCCCAGTTTCATTAGCAGCCTCTTGTGGGGAAAGTTTGTGCAGGTCTGTTGACATATTTCCATTTGTAAAGCACTTTATTGATGGGAAACAAAATAAGGAAATTAGATACCCTCTGTTTTCTCCCAGGGAAATGATGCTTATTATGCTATGCCATACGTGTAAACTTCTGTGTGATTTCTTACTTTATGGGGCTAAATTCATCATGTTGCCAAGTGCAGCTATATAAATAGGGCAGGACTAACTCAGCAGGGATTGCTTGGATTCTGACTTGGTTCAGAATCCCAAAAACTTCCACAAGGATCAACCCTACAAAGGCAAAACCAGTTGAACATGCAGAGAAGGACCTGCCCCTGCCCAGCAGCGGGGTCTGTGTCCTTCCCAGACCTTGCTCTTGGGGATCTGCAGTGCTTCTTTCAGACAACCTGAACAGGTCCAGAAAAGGGCAAAACTTTCCTTTCCCTCTGTGTTTTTACATCTGGTCTGGGCAGAAACAATTCTACCTTCATGGCAGAAGCATGTTTTTAGCTCTCAGTATTACAAAGTTACTATTTCTCCATTAACTTCAGAGATGAGTCGTCTCACTGTGTTCACAATCCTTGCTTATACTTTAAAGTTAAAAAAACTTATTAACTTCAGAGATGAGTTGTGAACTGTGTTCACAATCCTTGCTTATACTTTAAAGTTAAAAAAACTGGGATGAGTTCAGGCTCTGAGGCTCAGTTTGGACTTGGAGATTCAGTGTTGATTTCAAGGTCTGAAAAGCAATGACCCTGAAATTATTAACAATCACAGATTTTTTAGGCTCAGTGTTTTTATCTCGGGGGGAACTTCCCTGCAGTAAAAAGGATGATGCTTGTCCAGATTTGGAAGCTGCATTGCTGTTGTAGCAAAGAAGTAGTGAGACCAAACACACACTGGTTTATTTCCCACCTTTATTTTTAACTTGGCTGGCTATCTTCCTATGCCTCCCACACACCTTTTCTTTTTTTTTAAATTTTTTAATTTTTTTTTGTAGCTGCTTTTTATTTGGCTACTCCACTGAGTTTGTTGGGATCTAAGGCTCAGATAAAAGAGACAGCACAGTGTCATGTAACATGTGGGGGTGGTAGCCCTAAACCATTGCTTTTGTCTTCTAGCAACCATGGCAGGGCTCTTAGTGGTGTCCAACCTGTTTATCTCCTAAAAAAGCCCCAGAGCTGAGAGCTGACTCACCAGGCTTGTCTGTGCATTAGTAACACTCCTCGGAAGCTCTGGGGGCTGCAAAGTGATTCCTACTAAATAAAAAAGAAGTAGAATTACAGAATCATGGAATCATTGAGGTTGGAAAAGACCTGCAAGGCCACCAAATCCCTGCTGTGCCCCATGGCCACCTTGTCCCCAGCCCAGAGCACTCAGTGCCACCTCCAGGGGACACCTGCAGGGATGGGCACTGCAAAGCTCCCTGGGCAGCCCCTGCCAAGGCCTGAGCACCCTTTCCATGGGCAAATTCCTGCTGCTGTCCCAGCTGAGCCTGCCCTGGCCCAGCCTGAGGCCATTCCCTCTGCTCCTGTCCCTGTTCCCTGGAGCAGAGCCCGAGCCCTCACTACAACTTTTGTACAAGGACATGCAGCAGGTTCCACAAACATCACCAACATCCCTTCCCACCAAAAATTCCTGGTTTTCCGCGGTGGATTTGTGTTTGCCACATCTCAAACCTACGCAGAGGTGGACCTGCAGACAGGTCCATGGTAGGAACAGATCAATAGTAGCATCTCTTCTGGCATAAGAATTTTGGGTGAAAAGGGCCATTCTCTCCCTGTGCAGCTGTGAGGGCACCGTTCTGCAAATTCAGAGATTTGTAACTTTAACCAAGGAGTTTCTCTCTGGTGTAAAGTAAATTTCAGAGTGAAAGATTAACTTCAGAGTGTACTGATGAATCCCTGGCTGTGGGGACGTGAGAGGACATGCTTTGGTTTTGCAGCTGGGCACCAGAATGATCAGTGTCATAAGTGACCTGGCTGGTGTTCCATTATTGGGCACCTAAATATCCTCAATTCAGAATCAGAGATCAAAATTAATTTTCTACAAAACCTACGATCTGGCACAGAGTCCACACTTCTTGAAGGTTGCCTTATTTTCATGGGTTTTCACATTGCAGCTGATGGAAACTTTCCAAACAGAATTCCATGGGCAATACTTCCATGATAATTGCTTGGAATGTTTTACATCTCTTTTTTGGGATGTGAGACATTTATTTCTTTCCCTCTCGTCTGCTACCCAAGAGTTCTCCCACCAGAAAGAACTTCTGATGACACCTTTTTGTTTTCTAGAAAAGTTTCAGCTGAGAAGAAAAAAGATGGTGATTTGGAAAACAGGCAGGGGAGTGGCAGTGAAAATCTGGGATACATTCCAGAGGAATTGTGGAACACAGAGCAAAGCCCAGGTGAGTCTAGGCTGCTGAATCACAGGTTGTCAAATTGCTTCTCAACATGGGCCTTTTGGACAACAGGTCAGGCAGTTAAAATTGTGAGTTTTCACAATATTTAGTGAAGGACTTGTGCTTTTCCTGGACCTCTCCAGAACATTTTTGATGTTTTAGAGGAAGATCCTCCAAAAATATTGTGGAAACACCCAAGTTCTTTGCAACTGAATTTAGATTTAGTCCTGGGTTTGTTTTTTGAAATGCCTTTGTTCTTCTAATTTTCTTCTGGGGCCCGATGTGGGAGGACTGGATTTTCATACAAGCAGCAATTTATGCAATATTTTGCAGTTGGTCTGTGAAAACAAAATAAAATCCACCACTGCCAACAAATACAAAAAAAAAAAAAATTAAAGGGAAAGAAAGAGAAGAAGGAAACAATAAAGGCAGTTAGTGAACTATTATTTTACTGATAATGACTAAGTTAGCATTATAAATTCTTGTCCTTAAGCACAAAGACTCTTCAAAAGCAAATGTAAATCTCCACCAAATCGTTACCTGCCACTTGCATTTATAACCACATTATTCTCAAAACATTTAATCAAATACTTAATGGCATAAAACTATTGTGCAGAGTCTGTAACCCAGGCACACATCCTTCCCTCTCTGACAAATAAGTGGTGAAGAAATAAGTACAGAGGAAAGATTTTGAGAGTACGTAGTTATAAAATGCAGGAGTTATAAAAAGTAAAAGGAAAATGAAGTGGATCTGGACAAATGTATTCCACAGAGTGGAATCTGAACTGGCTTTTTTCATATTTGTTGGTGTTCTGGGTTGACCTTGGCTAGTCACCTCCCTTCTCCACTAACCTGAGTGTCTCCAGGACTGTTTCCTTCACACTTTCTCTCTCCTCTTTCCCAGGTCCTGCTGTGCTGGGTGTTTTTTTACCTTTCCTTAAATAAGTTATGGCAGAGGTGCCACCAATGTCACAGCTCAGGCAGAGGACCCACCTGGAACTGCCTCTGTCTGACATTGAGGCCAGCTTCTGGTGTCACCTCACAGAAATCACCCTGCAAACTCCCCCAGTACAAAAATCTGGCCACGTTAGCCCAAAAAATTAGCCTTAGTTTTGCTCACAATATTAATATTATTAATTAATAATTAATATTATTAATATTAGCCATTGTGGTTCCTGCCATGGTGGACACTGAGTAACTAATCTTTTATATTCTTGTTGCAGGACTTTCCTCTTTCCCCCCAGTGTTTTCCAAGTTTGCTGGCCCTGATGACAATTTGCACATCAGTTCTGTACCAAAGGTAATGCTGATTCCTTGAATATCACAGCCTCTTTTTTTTCTTCTTCACAGAGTGTGTATTGTCCTAGAGCCAAACATAGATTTTGGGGAGGTAGACAATTAGAAGTCAATTACAGCTGTAATTGAGTAAGTGGAATGTCCTCTCAGCATTCTTGACTGCATTTTCCTTCAGACTTGAAGGAGATGTGGATCTAAGATGGAGGCACTGTGAAGGTGAGGTTTGAGGTACCTTTGCAGACAAAATCCAGTGTAGAGAGAGTAAATGAATGTGCATTTTCTCTGGATTATTTCTTGACTATATTTTCCAATATTCTAGAAGTTGCTTCCATCAGGAACTTTATATTGACCTTGAAACCTTTGTTATCTCAGCAGGAAGAGCTGGGAGGGAAGGCAAACACCCAACACCCAGTGCCCCCAGAGCTTTGCCCCTTTTCCATGGGGATAAAATGAAAAAAGAAGAGCTCAGTGTTTGCTCCTCCACTGGTTCCATTCTCAGTGGCCTCGTTCTGAAGGCTGGTGCTGCTCTCTCTCAGCTTCCAGCACAAGAGCAATGTGAATCTTAATTTATGCCATATTTTTATAAAATCCTTTTAGCACCTCTGGGATGGTTTTTGCCAATATTCCCTTGAGAAAGTGGCGGTGATGTGGTACTGAGTTCACTCCTCAACACAGTGATAACTCATTTATTTCTGAAGAGCTGCTTCAACGTGAACAATGCAGAAATCTGTCTTGGGGATGACACTGCACATAAATCACAGCAGAGTGTGTCAACTTCTTTTGGCACACAATGAAATTTAGGAAGCACTCAATCAACAATTAAAACAATGATCACATAATACCAGTACAAAATAACAGCAATGACACTGATACATTTGTGCCTGGTAGTTATGATGGTTGACATGAATTACTTGTCAAACAAAATACTGTTAAAGCAAAGCTGAAAAGTCTGCACAAAACAGTGGAGGCATCAGTGTAGATCTATAACCCCAAGCAACACTTTCAGACAGAGTTTGGAATGCTTGTGAACAGCATTATGGGGCTTTTATCAGCTCCTGCATACACAAATGAGGCCATCACAATATACTGAGGAGCCCTGCTCAAACTGAAAAATAGTTTGTCTTCACAAAGCCATTTTTACATTGCTAAATATTCCTCTAACACATGGAAAATGGTTATAAATAATTTTCACCTCTTGATTCTCTCTTGGTGTTTTTCAAGAATGTGTGTGCAGCTATTGATGCAGGTAGAAGCCACTGTGACAGAGTTTTTCTATTGTCCAGAGACAACTGGTTTAAAAATAATAAATATTTCAATTTTATGCTGTGTTCCTGTGATGGATTCAAAGTTTCCTTGGCCACTTGATCTCCTAGGCCACCTAACCCAGGATTTCATGTGGAGGCTGCACCTTTCATGTCTCAGATTGAATCAGGACAGTGAACATAAGCTGGGCTTCCAAGCATGTGGCACGTGGTGTCTGCTCTGACAGCCAGGAGAGGTTGCTGAGCACCCTGGACACATTTCAGGGCAGGACATTGACTCCAAGAGGCATCTGGATGTGGCACCAGGGGACATGGTTTAGGGGTGATGATGGTGGTGGTGATGGTGGATGATGGGACTGGATGATCTGAAGGTCTCTGTGATGACTGGGATTTGGTGGTTCTGGGATCCATTTGGGATCCATTTGGGCATTTCCCGGAGCCTGGGTGCTCATTGATGGTTCATGGGCACTGGTTGGGTGCTGTGGTGGCATTAAGGTATTTAGTGACATCTGAAAGGCATTGAATTTGGATGAAATAACCTTCAGAACCAGCTCCATCCACTATGAGAACAAGAATGTTGTGAGTGGGGACCATCAGGAATCTGGGTTCACTGTCCTGATTCAATCTGAGACATGAAAGGTGCAGCCTCCACATGAAATCCTGGGTTAGGTGGCCTAGGAGATCAAGTGGCCAGGGAAACTTTGAATCCATCACAGGAACACAGCATAAAATTGAAATATTTATGATTTTCAAACCAGTTGTCCCTGGACAATAGAAAAACTCTGTCACAGTGGCTTCTACCTGCATCAATAGCTGCACACACATTCTTGAAAAACACCAAGAGAGAATCAAGAGGTGAAAATTATTTATAACCATTTTCCATGTGTTAGAGGAATATTTAGCAATGTAAAAATGGCTTTGTGAAGACAAACTATTTTTCAGTTTGAGCAGGGCTCCTCAATATGTTGTAGTGGCCCCATTTGTGTATGCAGGAGATGATAAAAGGCTGCTGAAGTTTTACCCTAAATTGTGGATTTGCAGTCCCTGATTTAATTTTATCACAATAAATGCAAACAGAGTAAAACATTTCCCAGACAAAAAGTGTTTTCCTTTTACATTCACAACTTTCCCTGTTAACTGCATAATACAGGTTTTCTCACAAAGAGTGTTCCTGGATATATTCCAGTAAAGTTCAGTCACCACTGATGCCATTATATTGCCTAACAACCATTGCAGTGCTCTTTCATTGTATTTCCTGTCAAGTAGGTGAAATCAGATGTTCACTCATTTAGCTGTTTGCTGGCTAGTGCTGAATCAGACAATTTGTTCAGAAACCACCTGCCTTCCTGCCACCTTCCAAGCACAGAAAGTTGTGATTCTCAGTTGGCTTTCCCTGCCTGAGCACTGGAAACATTCCCAAAGGCTTTTCATCTTTGTTCTCCGGGACCTTTTAGTGAGAAATAGAGGGTTAAAAAAGCCAAAAAACAACAGGAGGAAGAAAAGTTATCCTGAGAATTTTTTCCATAGTGAAGGAGGTCAGGGAGGGATGGGCTCCAATAAATTACTTCTCTCTCCCTGGGTAATCAGGAAAAATGAGCAAAAGTCCTTGCAGTGCTTCTTTAGAGGTCAAGAAGAAGGAAGGGAAATCCAAAGCCTTCCTGACCAGCAGGAATTCCATCTACTGATGGAAAAATTGCAGACTGAAGATGTAAAACCTTATCTATTCCCGTTTCTCTGAGGGAAAGGGCTTCAAATTTGATCCCCTTTGTTCCATATGTAAAGTTACAATTTTAAATTATTTGGGAGATTGAAGGAGACTTCATATCACTGGTTTTGCTTCCTCAGGATTTGTTACCCATAGACCCAGCTGAGTACAAACCTGAAATCCCTGGTGTGTGTCGTAAAGGGTGACAACAGAAAAACACTGAGCTCAGCTTTTGGCCATTCAGACTCTTTGAATCAGAAACTAATGCAAAGCGTCCACAGAAGATAAATGCTGCCCAGTAATTGCACTGATCAATTCACAACCCGAACAAAAGGTTTGGCAAAGAACAAGGGAGGAAAATCAAAGGTGTGTGAGACATTTAAAAAATGATGAGTAACGAAGCAAATTATTGAGCTGAGGGAAAAATGACCAGCCACTGGAAGAGGAGGCCAGAAGCATCAGTCAGAGGTGCTGGAAGGTCTTCATTGTGATGATATTAACTGAGAAAAGGTCAAACTGAGAGCAGAGGTGCAGGCTTCTGTTTAATTGCAAATGTAGTTCCTGTCAGGGATGGGCGAGTGTGATCCTTGTTCCCAGTATCAGGGCTGAGCTGCCAGAAAAATCAGTTTTAGGGACCAGCATCCCACTCAGTCCCTGACCCACAGTGCTCCTTCCAAAACCCAAGAGCAGTGAGGGGGATCCCCTGCCTGGGATTTTGCAGATTTTGGGGCAGTGCCACCTCCAAGGAACTCTAAGTTCCCACAGAAGGAGCTCTGAGGACTGAACAACTTCCAGGATTGGGCAGTCTCCTAGATGAGCTTCATAATGAGCTCATTTAATATGCCATAAAGGTGTCTGTAATAAATCAGGAGCCCCTTTCCATGAGGGAGTGAATTCTCATTTCCAATGGGCCAGACTCATCCTTGCTGTGACTTCAGCACAGCCCCAGGAAGCTTCCACAGCCTCACTCCTCCTTCCCAGTCCAGAGTGAGTCATGGCTCCCTTAATGGGGAAGGATCTATTTTTCTTCTTAACTACTCCAAATGACACTCTATAAACTGGAAATATTATTTAGCTGTGCTTGTGGTTTTATACTGAGAAGGAAATGAATGATGAATTGCAGCTCCATTTATTGCCCCATATAGAACTGCTCCGACTCTGAGGGTTGTTGGAAAGAAAAATTAAGCTATCAAAATTGAATTAAAAGGTCAATAAATCGAAAAATAAATCGATGAAAGCAAACAATTTTGTCCCTGCTGATGAAATGGGCTGCAGATATGTCATGTTATGATATCCATTGGTTAGCATATCTTGATTAAGAGAGCAATAAATATTGATGATACAGATAAAGAAATGGCAGCTGCAGTTTACAGATTTTTTTTTCCCAAATGACTGTGGGAGAAGGGGAGGAGTTAAGGCATATGGGTGGGATCAACCCCTGAAGAAACAAGGGGGAATTTCCAGGCTATATTGGTGTGCAGGGAAATGTGCTGAGTGTTCAAAAAGGTGATAGGATGACACTGGTTTGTTACTTGAAGTAATAGTGTATCTGGTTTATTTTGTGGGTATCCACAATTTATGGGGGTGGGTGTTTTCCTGTAAAAGAAGTGAATTTAGAATCAAAATTGAAAACTAAGGGCAGGGGGAGAAATAACCTTCAGAACCAGAAAGCTGTGGCTTTGTCCCCCTGATTGTTTGTTCTGTTTTGTTAGCCCAGTGTGTGATGCATGCAGACACATTTGGGAGCACTCCTACCACATTAATGTCAGCACTTTGTTCTTGTGCAGCTGGACTTGAATATTTTTTGGCTGGCTAATGGCAAGCCTGCAGTTTGTCACACACTTCCACAGCATCGGTGTCTGAGGAGCTGCCATCCTTCACCTCAGTGCTGAGATCAGAGTCCTGTTCCACAGGGCCAGACGTGTGCTCATCATTCACATCATATCACACAGGCTGCAGAACTGACTGAAACGTGCTTGTAAGGGCAGAAATCCTTCTTTCATTGACTGAAGATCAGTATTCAAAACACCATGGAAGGATTCACCCCTGAAACCAGCTGATACACGCTCAGTTTACCTTCTGATTCATCCATGTCTTGCTAGCTCCCTTTTTGTCTGGCTGAAGAGCTGGAAGAGATGAAAAGATCTGTGCTGCATCTGTTTGCCCAAGCAAACCAACAAACTATGTGAAGCTTTTCCCAGTATTATAATCCTTTTACAGTAATCCCTGTGAAAAGGCACCCAAGGCAGATGATAAATCAACAGGCAGGCTTTGAAGCATGTGACTGTCAGATATCCATGGTTAACTGGATGCCAAGCTGACAGTACAAAGAGATTTAAAACTATGTAAAAGAAATGCTGATGTTAGCACATCCTTCCTGAAGGGGGGACCACCTCAGAAACTCACTCCTGTGATGTTGTGCTGTGCAGCAAGCCACTGGAGATGGTTTTTTTCCCTTCAGTCTGTAGGGTATAATGAGTTATGAAGCCCTTTTTCCTCAGACTAGGACTGGCAGGACTAGTAAAGCACTGAAATAATCCAAAGAGGAAAGAACTTTGAAATCAAAACCAAGCAGGGGCTGCAGCAGCTCCAGCAGATCAGGGTATAAATAGGAAGTGCTTGTTGTGGTCCTGCTCCTCTGCATTATTATTTGTAATGTGTTGTATGAGATCTTCCATTGCATTCAGAAAATGAGTTTTAGGTCGGTGACCAGCAGCCAGCAGCCTCTGTTTCAGTGAAGTGCAACCTCAGGAAGGCTTTGCTGCTTCAGAGAAAGCTTCCCAGAAAATGGGCCAGCACACAGCATGAGCTGATGGAAATTCATGAAATTATTCATTAATTGATACCGGAGCACAATAAGCATCAAGTAGAAGTAACTCTAAAGCAAATAACTCTGAGAGATGCAGCAGGGCAAGGGTGAACCCTTGTCAGCCCCACCCTGGGAGCAAACTCTGCTCAGGTCCTGCTTTGGTGGTGAGAAGTGCCATGACAGACAGGGCTGGATGCCTCATTCCTGAAGATGGGATTTTTAAAGAAAAAGAGTCCTGCTGGGGTTATCCTTTCCCCAGTGCTCTCACAGGGCTGCCTGGATCCAGCTGCTGCTTGTCCTCTGGCTCCCTGCTGTTCAGGATCATCTACAAACCTAAATCAGGGAATCTCAGAGTGGTTGGGGTTGGAAGGGATCTAAAAATCATCCAGTGCCACCCCTGCCGTGGCAGGGACACCTTTTCACTGTCCCAGGCTGCTCCAGCCCCAGTGTCCAACCTGGCCTTGGGCACTGCCAGGGATCCAGGGGCAGCCACAGCTGCTCTGGGAATTCCATCCAGCCCCTGCTACAGGGGCACAATCCCCCCTAAATCTCCTGTAGCATTGACCCCAAATTGCCCCAAAATTGTCTCTTTCCACAACACTGCTGGCTGAACTTTCTGATTTATATCTTTTTTTCCTTTAGCAAATCTGGTGCAATAGAATATTTTTCTGCAGCAAGTTCTGGGAAATATTCTCACCTCAGTATTTTGCTAAACATGGGATACAAACCATGACCTGTTTCAGGGAGTTTTAGAGACAGGTTGTTCTTGGGCCCCCTCTGAAACCTTCTGGTTACTCACTATGCTACTGGTTCTGTATCCTTTATTCTCACAGACCACAATATGTGGGAATATTTCCCTTCCGCAAATATAAAACTTGCCTTTGTCATTTTTTCAGATTTTTTTTTTCCCCATTCTATTTGAAAATTTGTTATTTTGGTGGGAGAGGTAATAGAGAGCTCCTCTGCTTAACACCACTGAGGTCTTTGGGCAAGAAATCAAAATGCAGCAGAGGGATCTTGGAAAAGGTCCTTGAACAGAGCCAGGCAGTGCTGTTACTTCCCAAAGTACCTCTCCTCTCTGCAAAAATAAACAGTAAAGAAGGGTAAATTTAGAAAACAGCAGCATGTTCTAGCAACAAGAAGGGATGGGAGGGTGGAGAAAGAGAGTTGTTTTTAAAACAGAAGGCAGCTGTCTCGTGAATGCTTCTAGGATAGTTAAATTTATCCCACAGCAGTGCTGGGGCTCATTAAATACCAGAGCCATGTTGTCCACATTTGTTATCTAACATTTGCCTCCATCTGTTATTCAATAATGTATATGTACCAAATGCATTATTGAAGATGTTTAATACTGGAAGAATACCAGAGCAATACAGACTGTACATGATTAATGCTCCAGAACAAACCTCAGGAAAATTGGTCAATAGTTAGAGAAACAAGTTTGCCTTGATGAAACATTTCACTGAGAAAAACAGTGAAATTCCCATTAATTTCCAAGGGGTTGAGACAAGGTGAGGAATTACAGGGAGGAGGTGTTGATACTACATTTAAAAATCCACAGGTTTTTGTTACTCAGATGCATTTGAGAGCGAATTTTTCCTTGTCTTTTCCTCTGCAGTGATGTTTTGTAAAAGCACAGGAGTAATTAGGACTGGAGATGCACCTGCACTTGTTTCAGATGAGGAGGAGCTTTCCAAGGCTGCTGAGCTTTTGCCCTGCTCCGATCCCACCGGGGGCAGTGTGAGAACAGGCTGCAGCCAGTGGTAGTGGAATCCTGGCAGTCTTGGGAAGTTTAAAAACAGCCTGGCTTGGATAAACACCGAGATGCTGAGAGCGATCTTCCAGCCATGTGAAATGCTGCTGTGCTGTGATTTCTAATGGAATATTCAGATTTTTTACAGCTTAACAGTCTCATTTAAGAGAACCAGAGGAGAAACACCCAACAGAGGACACAGCCTCAGCTACTTCAGGGAAGGTGTAGGTTGGATATTAGGAAAAAAAAATTTCACCAAAAGAATAACAAAGTACTGGAATGCTCTTCCCAGGGAGGTGGTGGAATCACCATCTCTGGATGTGTTTAAAACAGGCTGGACATGGCACTTGGTGCTGTAGTGTGGATTCTGAGTTGAGGTGTTAGGACATTGGTTGGACTCGATGATCTTAGAGGTCTCTTCCAACCTCGTTATTCTGTGATGCTGTGATCACCTTTTGCTTAAGAGCACACAGACTGCAGGGGCCACAAGAAGTTCTCAGGCAGCGTAAAACCAGCTCGTGAATTCCCAGAAGTGTTGCATGTGAAGCTTTTGTTTCGTTCTGCTTCTCGTGCTTTCCTTTGTGTTTGGATTTTGAGTGGGCTGCTGGTGATAGGTTTCGTTGGCAGGTAACCTCCTGAGACCCACTGTGGGACTGCTTTTCTGGGATCTCTTTTAGTTCTCTCACTGGTTTTGCTCTCCCCTAGGTGCGACCTCAAAGGCGTCCTGATTATCTGATCAGCCCAAAGAAAATCAGGAATGTGACACTCGTGTAGGATGTACTTCTCCAAGAAGTTGCTTTTTTACGTGTTTGGATGCCTTCATGCAATGGAAAAAAAGTTAAAACCAGTTCTCTCAGTTTAACTTATAAGTTATTTTCTTTCTTTTATTTTTTTTTCCTCATGCAATGAAATAAAATTGCAACCTTTATAATGCAGCATGTGATATCACAGCAAAATAATGGACAAAAATGACATCAGTAGACTGCCCTAATTTCCAAGACAATGAATTTGATGGGACTGTGGAAGAAGAATCCATGTCTTGGGTCCCAAGGAAATCAGCAAAACTGTCAGACAGGAATGTTATGTTACAGCAAGATCAAGGACTGGAAATGCAAGATATTTATTATTTCAGAAAAACTGGTTAATAATAATAATGGTTAATACAATATCTATGCTTTAAAACACATTTTATGTACAGCTGATCATCTTGAGCTTTCAGATCAACAACATTTTTCCATTCCTATTCTGTAATAAAATCAAGGGAAGTTTTCATGGGGGCTGCTTCAAAATTTCTAACAAAACTATCTTTGGATCAGAAATGACATTTCTCCATTTCAATACATTATTTTATAAGAAGTATTTGCCTTAAAATTCCATTTCAAAATAAAACCCAATCACCCGTGTGCCAAAAAAATCCTTTTTTAAGAAAATTGAAATTCAAATATCTTAAGTTGAAAAATGTAGATTTGAAACTCTTGACTTTGAAGAGTTGTTGCTTGAATGTTTTATGTCTCTGTTCTACTTATGGGAGGGGTTGTGTCACTGCAATGGTGGCTTCTGCAATTCAATTTGCACAGTGTTTTTTCCTCAGGGATACAGTTGATAATGACCATGGGAAATGCACTTTAACAAAGCAGCTTCTCAGCAGAGCAGATCCAGCACATGGACTGTATCTAAAATTAATTAAATATTTTGTCTGAAATGTTCTATTTCACAATAAAAAAGTTCAAGCTTATTATTTTATATTTTTCTTTTACAAAATGGCAAACTTCTTCCAGAAAAACAAGATATTTTCAGTGTACTCTTCTTCCTTCCCACTCAAAGAATTCTGAATTATTCAGTGTGTCTCACGTTAATCTTTGGTACAAACGTGCTCTTGAAAGAAGCCCTTGCTTCAAACCCTTCCAGTGACACTCTGTGCAACAAAACTGGGGAATTTGAAACCTGAACTCAGGAAGGAGAAGTTGTTTTTCACGTTTAGCATTTGGTATCTCCTTAACTCGTGCCAGATTTTGTGTGCTGGTGGCATTTTCAGCCAGTCTGTCTGAACAAGTGCAAGGTCTGCCGTGTGCTGTTTGTACACAAAGCTGTTTCAAACTCTGACCGTCTACTGCCTTTCTATCTTGTTTGCCTAAGGAGGGGCTTGGAAATGAATTTTATAATGTTACACAGGCAAAAATATAAGCAATTTACATTGTGGCATATTGACATTTTCCTTGAAAATATCCTTATTTTGAATTAACCACTCGTGTTGAAAAACATCTACCTTATTCTGATACAAGGATTCCTATTGCTGACATTTACTTGTTACCACTGTAGCTGAAAGCAACCTAAACACAACCAAAAATCCACTTTATTAGAGGAATGTCTGCTGCATGAGAGAGGGGAGCCCAGAGTAACACCAGCCTGGGACTTGAGGGGGTAAAAACCATGGAGATTTGGCTTTCTGTTCATGTGCATTGTTAACAAGGTCTGCTGGTTGTCAGAAAAGTAAAAATAATCTCTGAACTCTGTGGAGTTTCCCAGTAGAAAGTGTTGATTCTTTGGGATATATTTTGCAAAGGGTTCACGTTGTACTCCTTTGTTTATCTCCAGGCCCTTATTTTCAAGCTTAGCTTTGGTATTTTTTGGTGTCATGGCAAAGCAGCCAAGCTAGGACTGAAGAAAACCTTTTCTCCACTTAATCTGAATCCTTCCACATTAATCAAACACATTTCTGTGTTGATGCCGTGGGCCAGAGGACACAAAATGTGTCAGAAACAAGGAGATTTCTGTGCTGGGGAGTCCCCACTGAGATTCCCAGGCTGTGCTTCCAGGTGCTCAAGGCTCTGCAGACGATGCCAGCAGTGCTCCCAAAATTGGTTTGCAGGCTGTGGCTGGGCCAAAGGCTCCCTGGCACTCCTGATGAGTGAACAGGCTGAGAAGAGAAGGTTGTGATGCCTTGTGCAGGCTGTCCCTGCTCTGTGCACAGAGCTCACCATCCCATCATGTGAAGCCCAGACCCACACACTTAAACAGCACAGGACCTGAAAAACATAAAAGCTCAAACCTGAGGCATCAGTTGGAGACTTCACAGCAGCCTTCCAGTACCTGAAGAGGGGCTCCAAGGGGTCTGGAAGGGATGCTTCATCAGGAATTATAGTGACAGGACAAGGGGGAATGGCTTCAAACTGACAGAGAGCAGTTTGATGGGATATTGGGAAGCAGTTGTTCCCTGGGAGGGTGGGGAGGCACTTGGAACTGGTTTCCCAGAGCAGCTGTGGCTGCCCCTGGATCCCTAGAAGTGTCCCAGGCCAGGTTTACATTGGGCCTTGGAGCAGCCTGGCACAGTGGAAGGTGTCCCTGCCCATGCTAGGGGGTGGCAGTGAATGATTTTTAAAGTCCCTTCCAACCCAAACTATTTTGGGATTCTTAGTGAAGCCCCAAAGCTGGGAACCACGTGGGAGCCCCTTCCTTGCTGCCAGCTCCGAGCTGCCTCAGTCAGACATCAGGGACAGCCCAGACAGGTCACCTTCCAGCTGTGCATCCTGCCTGGCAGCTGGAAAAGTGCTCCAAGGTGCCACACTCTCCTCAGGAACCACCAGAAAAATGCCCCTGGACATCCCACAGCAGCAGGAGGAATTAACAGCCCCTGCCTGCACCTCTCACCCACTCAAGCAAACAAAGCTTTTTGCACAAACAGGTACCACAGCCATGGAAACTGCACATTAACCAGAGGCTGGAGCTCTTTTCCCTCCCTGCCAGCTCAAGGAATGCATCCCACACAGCTCTGGAACACTCCTAACAGCGCTGGCACGAGGTTAAAAAATTCTCATTGTGTCCTTGGGATTTATGGTTGGGGGCATTTATTTCCTTCCAGATTTGTTTGTTTGGGCATGTTGTACAGCCTGTATATCATCTCCAGTACTAGCTGTTACTTATGTTTGCAAATAGGGCTCCACAAATAACAATACATAAAATACAGAGACAATTTTCAGCTCACAGGGAATATAAAATATACAGGCACTTTCAGAAGGCACAGTAGACTAAAAATATTGAATTTCAGGCACTTTATGGAGACACCAATCTTTTGTATGCATGCATATTGATATAATTATGACTTGAGGGACATTTTAGTAATCTAGAAGTATCCAGCTTTTTACAGCTCACAGACTGTGCACAGTTTGATAATATAAAACCCTTCCATGTTTCCTTACAAAATCTTCTCATTTGAATTCTGTGCTTGCATACGCAGGGAAAAAATGCACTGAAGATAAGCAGTATTTCATGCCACAGTAAGGTTTCCTAAACTTGTCTCACCAGTTTAGTATTTCACAGAAAATTCAGGCTACCTTTAATACAAAACCACTTAAAAATACCACTTGGCTTCACGGGGAGGTTTCTTGTTTCAACAGAATGCACCTCAGGTTTGTGTGGGCTGAGTGGAATCAACACATGAACTCTTACTGAAGAGTACTCACAATATTGACTGAACATTTGGTTTCTTACTGATCTGATTGAACAGAGCCTCTATTTTCAATATTTATTTGGTAGGATGTACGATATATGGTGCTGCTAACCTAAAATGCAGCATTTTTGAGGATTTGGGCCTCCCAGTGACATAGATGGGAATAGCTCTTTGGTTGCAGGGCTCACCATCCCTTTCCTCAAAAGGATCCTGCATGAGGCAGGAAAAACGCAGCTTCCTACCAAATTCCCCAGCAGAAACTCATGGAAAACTGGAATATGGTCTCCTTAAAGTGTCAGAGATATCTCATTTTCCCATCCCTCACTCTCCACGCAAGCAGATCTTCCCCATGCAAAGTGGGGAAATGAGGCCCCTCCCCAACTCTCCCTCTCTCTGAGTTTCTTTAAATCCCACACTCACATTCCCAACAACACCACAAATTAATCCAGTTGGCCTCCTGGTAACTGTGTAAGTAACATTAAGCAAACAGGATAAACCAAAGTGGGCTCATATTTTCAAGCTATAACAAAACCCAGCCAACCTCAGCTGCCAGGGGGAGAGCACAGCTCCCCAAACACCTTTGGCATCTCAGTACTTTTTTCCCCAACAGCCTCCAAAACCCCTCCTAAAGATGAGGCTGAGCATTGAAATTCATAAAGCCACTTGATCTGGAGGAGCGTGCACTCGGCTGATGTGACTTTTATGATTACTCTCCTCCCACTCACCACGATTGACTCTTGTTCCCCCGGCTATAAACTACCTGCCTCTTCCTCCCCCCAGGTGACAAGCAGCTTCATTTAACTTCAGCTTTCTCTGTCTCTCATTTTCCGCCCTCTTCCCCATCCTTTCTTCTCTGCAGCTCCCAAATACATTTCCTTTAAACAAAGGCCTAATTGATACATACCTAATTAACATCTGAGCGTTTGTTCTCAGCTTGTATTTAGCTCTGAAAATTGATGCTTCTATTTCAGACCTGAAAAAGGGCTTGCGTGCCTGAAAGTTTGCCTGATATTTCCAGCAATACCAGTGGATCCAATAAAACACATGCTGGTGGCTGTATATTCCCATTTTCCCATCTACCAGGATTCAGGAGGACACTGTGCCCACCTCAGCTGACCTTCCTGAACTGCTGGTGGGGAAAAAAAAAGAAAAGAGCCAAACCAGGTCTGCATTAATATTTCTGCACCAAACCTCCTCAGCCAGCAGGAAAGTTCTCCATGTTGTGGTGAAGGTGGAATTTGACAGGAATGTTCTACCTTGCTGCAGTTTGGAGCTCTGCGTGAGATTTCTGCCCTTCTGAGTTCAGTTTTCTCTTACCCATCCTCACCCTGCTCTCTGTTCTTTGGGAGGTGCAGGTTGGTACCAACTCCTTCCCATTATCCTGGAAATAATGGGAATAATCCCATGGATTATTTGTGCTAGATTAGCACAGATAGTTATTTAAATTATGCATATTTGCAGGCTCAGAGGAATATTGCAACTTCTTTCCAGCTCAGAGAATCAATGTTTGGGAGTTCCCACCATCATTTGGCATTAGCTCTGACAGCAGAGCTGGTGTCACACAGATGTTATTTATATTGTTTATTTTCTCCTGTGCTGTGATCGCTCCCTCAAATGAGGTTTACACCAAGTGCTTAAAAAAAAAAAAAAAACAAAAACAACAACACATTCCAGCAAAATGCTATGTTTGGTTTTGTTTTGGAGGGAGAATGCCAAAATCGAGGGAAAACAATACTGAGAGGTTTTTGTTAGAGAAATCAACCAGATCCATCTCAGCCCTGCCTCCCACTCAGCTTCCCATCAAATGGTCCTGCCCTGACCTTGGATCAGCTCATCTGTGCTATGGATTCCCTTCATCCCAGTGCCCTTCCCAGCAGATGCTGATGCTGTGGGCTCAGGTCTTTCCTGGGCTGTGTTTTCTGCACCCTGGCTCTCTCCACTGCAAACAGCACCTTTCACACTCCTTGTGCAAGGTGAAGGAGGCTCTTGGCTCAGCCCTGCTGCCCCACAGCTCTTCCAGAGAGGCTGCCAGGATGGATTTTCCTTCCCCAGCAGAGCAAGGATTCACGTGGGGCTACAATCTACCAGATGCTGGGATTATTCCATGCCAGGTTTCATTTAGGTGTGACCCCACTGACACAGCCCCTTGGTGAGCACTGCTCCCTTTGGGTTTGCCT